TCAATATTCTGCTGGAAGTACTTGCTAAAGCAATACAGCAATAGAAGGAAATAAGATTGGCAAAGAAATGGTGAAACTATTGTTATGTGCAGATGATATGCTAGTGTATGCAGAAATCCCCAAGGACTCAACAAAAAACTGTTGGTAGTGGACCAGTTCAGTAGAGTGGCAAGATATAAGATCAATATACAAAAGTCAGTTGGATCCCTCTACAGTAACAAAGAAAACACAGAGAAAGAAAATAAGAAAACAATTCTATTTATAAGAACCAACTGCAAATTAAAACACTTAGGAATAAATCTTACTAGAGACACAAAAGTTTTGGAACATTTTCTTTACAAAGAAAACAACAAAACACTTCTGTGAGAAACAATAAAATACCTAAATAAATGAAAATATGATCCCTGTTCTTGGATAAGAAAATTCAAGATAATGAAAAATACAGTCCTTTCAAAAGCAATCCATATGTTCAATGCAATCCCAATACAGATAAGAAATAAATTTATCAAAGATAGATAAAGCATTTGGCAAGTTTATTTGGGAAGGAAAGAGACCTTGAATAAGCAAAGCACTTCTGAAAATCAAGACTAAAGTAGGAAGCATAGCATTCCCTTATCTCAAAACCTACTACACAGCTGTAATAACCAAAACAGCAATCATATTACTGGTGTAATGACAGGAACATAAATCAATGGAATCAAAAAATTAACCCATCTATCTATAGTCAACTGATATTAAAAAAGAAACAAATGTTATCAAATGGGGAAACAACCACCTCTTTACCAAATGGTGCTGGCAAATAGTGCCAGCAGAAAGCTGAAGCCGGATCCATGTCTCTCACTATACACAAAAATCAACTCAAAATGGACCGGAGATCTAGAAGTAATGCCCCAAACCATAAATATTACAAGAGACAAAGTAGGATGAAGCTTAGAAGGTCTAGCTAATACAGCCAAAAATGCATAATCTGGAGAGGATAAAATTGATGAATGGGACCTTCTAATGACTGTCCCTATCAAAACCTTTTCCCATAAGGTGAAATAAAAGCAACTAACTGGGGAATAATATTTGGCAATACCATCTCAAACAAGGTTCCCACAACAAAAGGTTTCAGAATCTTATAGGGCTTCCACAAGAAAAAGTCTGAAAACCCAATTACAAAATGGGCAAAAGACATGGAAAGGCTTTTTACAGAGGAAGACATTTGATGGCCAAAAGACACATGAAGAAATGCTCAAAATATCTTCCATTAAGAGAGATGCAAATCAAAACCATCTCATCCCAGTAGCAATAGTAAAGTACTATCAGACAGGAATTAGTAAATGTTGGAGAGGATGTGGAGAGGTGGAAATTCTCATGCACTGCTAGTGGGATTGTAAAATGGGACAAGCACTCTGGATAGCAGTTTAGGGTTTCCTTAAAAAGCTGAACATAAAACTTTCATATGGACTGACATCAGGGTTGGGGTAAGACTGAGAAAAACTGGATAAATTATTTATACTGCATTGAAACAGATGAGGGAGAGAATAGTTTACAAGCAATAAATGATAGGGTATTATGGTTATCACAAGAGTCCAGAATAAAGGTTGCATAGTGGAGTGAACTGTGGGGTGGGGGTTGGGGGGAAGATTGTATACCAATGAAAGAATTTTTCTTTTACTTTTCAGAGGGAAGCGCGAATTGGGGGGAGGGGTGGGCAGTGAGAAAAGTGCAACAATGAATGAATGGAAATCCAGAATATCTGTAAATGTTCATTAAAATTTAAAAAAAAATCATATGAACCAGCTAGTCTACTGCTAGAGATATACCCTAAGAAAATCAGAACTCATCCACAAATGGAGGTCTGTACACCAATGTTCATAGCGGTGTTATTCACAGTTTCAAGAACACGGAAACAGCCCAAATGTCTAACCACAATCAAATGGATTGAGAAATTGTGGTATATTCACATAATGGAATACTACTCAGCACTCAGGAGCAATGATTTTTAAAATTAGTACACAACTTGGGAGGGACTGGAGAGCATTATGCTGAGTGGACTAACTCAGTGTCCAAAGGACAAATACTGCAGAAGACCATTATTGTAGAAATAGATTACTAATAAATCATGTATGAAGATCCAAGGAGGGGAGGATGGGAGTAGAAGAGTGAGAATGGGCAGAGAGGAAGTCATAAGGCACAGTTTGATGGATGGAGGGAGGGAAGGGTAAAGGAAATGGGAAAGCTCCAGAGTGGCTCTAGAAAGACAGGGTAATGGTGGGTATACTTAAATGGTGATTTAATTTCTAAAATATAATGAGTGGGAATGACTGTGTGGAACACAATATGGATGAAGGATAGTGTGAAACATAGTGTTTGTGAAGGGTAGTGTGAAACACAATGTATAGAAACTTTGTAAACAAACCAATATAAAAAATAAAAAGAAAATGTTCAAAGGTCATAACTGCTGTACCATTCCATCATCTCTGAGATTAGTCACTTCTCTTTCCTTTACTTTTCCATCTTTTATCTGTGTCTTTCAAGTCTGTGATTAATTAGAAGGATTCACAAAAACAAATAAATCTGAAAAAATGGTCCATGTAATTGTGGATGATGTAGGCTCATGTAGCGTGGTAAGAAATTGGTGAACAATGGGCCAGAAGCCTACAGGCTGAGGTTGTTGGTTAGCTGTCAGTTGTCAAGTGTAGATTGCTTGTTGTCAGTTAACAGCTGGATCAACTGAGATGCAGTATTTTAAGAAAAAAAAATAAAATAAATTTATGGAGCTTTCATAAACATGTTTTTATATAAGATCTCACATCCCCAGGAGAAATAAAGGTGTTGATTTGGTAATATCTTCCAGTAACATGAGGCTTGTATCTCTCTCTAGTCATATTTCCTTAATACAACAAATAACTCATCCTTATATGAGGTCTTAAGAATAAAGAGGCTAGATTCACAAGATAAAAGTTTAAGGATGGAAGGACCATATTACTTAATTCATTGTACCAGTTTCCATGGTTGTTAAAAGATTGTGAATCAGAATCTACACTACAGCAATGCCTCTCAGATATTTCCATTGCTTACAGGCCCCAAAAGTCAATAAAATAATTTGGTAATGTACTTACTTGGAAGCCGAAGTGGCATCCACTTCCTAAACTACATGCCTCTGGAAATTCTATGAACTTTGATAAATGATAATAGTTATAGAAAGGCTTCAGGCCTTTTGTTCATAGGGTAGTTATGAGTCTTGCTCTACTCAACAGCAAACACCACCACCACAAGTGTGCTTACAGACAAAGTGCTAAATTATCCCACTTAATATTTGGAGTAAGACATTTACATGGGGGTAGGTCAAGTATAGTAAATTTTTTTCTAAGTAGGAGGTAGTGAACAACAGTGAGAATTTGTAAGAATGGCTGTGGTGGTACTTTTTCGAATAAAATGTGTATAGCAGTTTTTAGAGAATGGGCCAATCCATCCCAAAGGGAAATTTCCACGTCTGAAATAGCTTCACACAAACCAGTCATTATATTGTACATCTGAGAAAGAATAATATAATGGATACTGGTCAAAATAAACCTGTAAGAAAACATGTCTAAGGGGAAACAAATGTGGTATATCGATATTACAGAGGATTTGGTGCAGAGGGATTTAATATAGAGAGATTGCTTTTAAATTCTAGTTGCTTCAAACCTGCAATTGTTTTGGAAAAGAGGAAGTGTATGAAACATCAAAGACAAATATTTGCTGGCATGTGAGTTTATTGTCCTTATATAAGTACACTTCTCTCCTGCCTATTGTCGAATTATTGGATATAATTGTAGTTTAAATCTCAAAACAGAAAACAAATTAAGACTCTTTTGGGAAGCATAAATGGAAAAATATTTTCTTTTTCTTACAAGAAATTGGTGAATCAAGGATATTCAAAGGTGCCTTGGTGATGGAATGGGTTAAGCAATAGTAAGTTAACTAAATGCCACTGGTTCACATAGCAACCACTGCTCTACAGAAGGAAGGAAAGGCAATCTACTCTTGTAAAGAGCTTCTGCTGTTGTTATTTGATGTCTCTGAGTCACCCATGACTGACAGTGACTGTATGAACAGAGGATCTGAGCCTCACCCTATCCTGTGCCATCCCCATCATATCTGATATACATAAGCCCTTTGTTAGCCACTGTGCTTGTCAATTCATCTTGCTGAGGGTCTTCCCTTCTTTTGCTGACCCTTCACCTCTCTAAGAATGACCTATTTTTCCAAGGGCCAGCCCTTCCTAACAACATGCCCAAAATATGAGATGAAGTTTCACCATCCTTGCATCCATGAGCACACTGGTTGTATTTTCTCCAAGACATTTTCTTTTTCTTTTGTCAGTCCATAAGATATTCAGTACTTTTCTCCAACACCACAACTCAAGAACATCAATTCTTCTTCTGTCATCTTTAATCTCTGTCCAACTGATTCATAATAACTAAAAAGACCATGTCTAGGATCCAATGCGCCCTAGTCTTTAAACTTACATCATTGTTCCTTAACACCTTGGTGAGGTCCTTGACAGCAGATATACCCAATACATCTTTTAATTTCTTGACTGGTGCTGTATAAATCTACAGCCCTTCCCATAGAACTACTGTGCAATGGAATTTATTATACTAAGATGTTGATTTCAGCTAAGATTTAAAGAACTGTGAATATTTGCAGATGATATTGACCTAGGATGAAGATGGCAAATAACTGCGGAGTTTACAATCAAAAGAAAATGTTTCTTGGAAAAAAATAGACTGGCTAGCCAATAAGTTACTAAAAATGAAAACTGCTTTCAATGTTAAAACTTTGTAAAGAAACAATGCGGTTTCAAGGTGAATAAACTGCAACTTCAGATAATAAGTCTGATCAAGACTACAGGACAGAAACTTGGGTAAAAAGTAGGATACATTCTAAAGTCTCAACCTAGGGTATGACTGAAACCTGTTAAAAGTGTTGATCCAGTTTGGAATATCTTCCTTGCACTCTGAGAGGGCCTATCTCCCCAATGCTTTCCAAAATGCCTCCTTCACATCCTTGTTCCTCAAGCTGTAAATGAACGGGTTCATCATAGATGTTATGACTGAGTAGAACACAGAGATCACCTTATCACCTTCATTCATTTTGTTGGAATTTGGCCTCATATAGGCAAAGATTGCTGATCCGTAGAAGAGAACAACAACAATCAGATGAGAGCTACAGGTTGAAAAAACCTTGAGCCTGCCTTCTCCCGACTGCATGTGAATCACAGCAGAGATAATATTCCAGTAGGAGACAAGGATGAGGGAGACAGGGGCTAGGAGAATCACCACACCCATTGCAAAGATGATCATTTCTGTGTTATACGTATCTGCTGATGCTAACTTCAGTAGGGCGGGAGGTTCACAAAAAAAATGGTTAATGATGTTGTTTCCTTTGTAGGGAAGACGTAATGTAAATGTAGTATCCACCACAGAAACAAATGTCCCACTGGCCCAGGACCCTATGGCCAGCCAGATACAGACCCAATTTGTCATGATGGTGGAGTAGTGTAGGGGTTTGCATACAGCCACGTAGCGGTCATAAGACATCACAGCCAACAGGGCACACTCTGTACACCCAACCAGAAGGAAAACAACTATCTGTAGTGAGCACCCAGTAAATGAAATGGTTTTCCTCTTTGCCAAGAAGTGGACTAGCAACTGTGGGACTATTGTAGTAGAAAAGCAGAGATCAGCAAATGACAAATTTCTAAGGAAAAAATACATAGGTGTGTGGAGTCTGGAGTCTACGTGAATAAGTACAATGATAATCAGATTTCCCAGTACAGTCAGCAGGTAGATAATGAGAAACAGGAAGAAGAGCAGGACTTGTGTCTGTGGATCCTGTGAAAGGCCCAGGAAGATAAATTCTGTCACATAGGTTTGGTTTTCTTCTCCCATGAACGTTTATTCCTGCTTACAGATCAAAAAAAAAAGGAAACACAGCTGAGTTATTTTTTAAAATATTAATAACTTGGGCATTTTATTAACTTGTATCCAAAATTAGATTTTATTTTCATTTCCTATTATCTTCTACACATCAAAAGACTAAGTTTTTGTTTGGTTCAGAAGTTCTGACAACTGAAAACTATTGATTTTTTCTTCTCTGAGTATTTTAGTGACAGCACCCTGGAAAGAGTTTTCTTTAATATCCTCATGATCTAACCTGGGCTAGACTATTAAAAACCAAATTAATTGGCCAAATGTCAATTTAAGAATTAGATATTTCTGTAATACCAATTCAATTTTTAGTCTGCAAATTGTATGATAACATTTGTCAACTTGGATTTCTCTTACTAGATTAAAAGAAACATTCTAAGAAAGTTCACTAAAATTGTGGCACCATGAAAGTCTTCTGACCGGAACTGAAACCATCTGAGACCACCTTTCAGCTACACGATAGATGTTATTATTGTCAAGTGCCAGTGGAGTCGTAGACGACTCATAGCAACCCTATGAAGGTGAGTCTTCAACACTTGTGTGTCTTCCATCCTCTTTCCAGGTTCATTAGGTTTTCCATAGGCAAACTATCCCTGAAGTGGATGCCACTCCTCCTTCCAAACTTGTTTTAATCTGGGAGCTCCACCCAATACTGTCGACCATGGGTAACCATTGACACATTTGACACATCAGTGTCACAGTGTTCA